ACACAGAATAGCATACACTGCTTGCGTTCAGCGGATATTCTCCAAAATGGCGCTACTGTAATGCGGAGAGACACAGAGGAGACGAATTGTTGAAAAGTCTTTTTTTTTCTTTTCTTTGCGTACAAAAAGTATTCTCGTCGCTTCATAACGTTACGGTTGAACCACTGATGGCAGATGGACTATTCTGACGATGTCTTTCATACTTTTCTGAACCTTGACGGTGTAATTTACTTGGCAGTCAATGTGGCAATCACAAGCCTCCCGGTTTTCATTGAAAATGTTCAGAAGACGAACAAAGCTTTTACAGGTTTGGAACGACATGGGGATAAGTGATTAATGACAAAATTGTCATTTTGGGGTGGAGTATCCCTTTAAGAACAGAAAACACAAATCGCTATAAGAAGCTTTGCTTAGCACACCATTTTTGTGTCTCTCTGAAATGCGGCGCGCATTCTTATTGTTATCAGACTGAGGAGCCAACTTTCATGTGGATATTATTGTTTTTCTCAACATTAACATGATGTGAGACAATATAAACACGATAAACACAGGGCGACTCTAGTGTATGCACTTTGTGTACTGTAATTGGCACGTATAATGTGAGATATAATGTAACGTTGTTGTAGAACATTGTTGTGTACAATGCCTAATCGGTGACAAAAACTTGATTATTAAAAAATAACGTATTTCTCGTTAAATGCCATTTAAATAAACAAATATTCAAACTTTCGTTTTTTATGAGCCCAAATATTCGAATACAATATTTTTGAAAAATGCCCATCTCTAGTTATGATGACATGAAAGTAGGGGAAATGATCATGCATCTACTCGATGATACTGACACGTTAAAAACAAATTTCTAATATTGGCCATAATCAATTTAGTACCATAATTTTTTTATTCTGATTCAGTGATCCAGCCTTCACAAGTTTTGTGGAAGGGGAGACCACTGACAATAAAATAAATCCTTCATAACCCACACACCTTTGCCTTTTTGGCATTAGAAAAAAATTGCTTAACGTAAATAAACCATCAAAGAGATAGTTCCCCCACAAAATAAAACTTCCTTTTATTTACTCAAAAGAAGATATGAATAAGAATGGACTTTACCATCACTGTATGGACCAACCAAAAAAACAACAACACTGATACATTTCTCAATTTCTTCTTTTGTGTTCCACAGAATAAAAAAAGAAAGTCATAGGCTAGTTTTGAAACGACAGTCAGAAAATGTTGACGGAAATTTCATTTTTGGGTGAACTAGCCTATCCTTTTAACAGTTCATCCCTAATTATTCATTAGGAGTGCATAAGATAATCTGTACCATAACATTATAATCAAATATTGTCATTTTTTAAATTCTTTTATTTATCAATATAATCCTTTACTTAATTGAGAATTTAATTCTCATTTCCCCTATTGTTATGTTTGCCTTATCTTTTACTGTCATTAAAATCACATGCTCATTTAATCTTAATCTTAATACTGTACATTTTATAATGTTGTGATGCCTAAATTCACTTTAGCATTTCAAATGTTCGTGTTAAATGTCTACCATAAAATGAAATTAATTGTTAGTATTGGACAGAATTCTTCAAATTGATGCATTTCTAGTATACATTACCATTTAAAAGTTTGCAGTCTGTAAGATTGAAAGAAGTCTCTTATGCTTACCAAGGCTGCATTTGATCAGTAATAAAAAAAAAAACAGTGATATTGTGACATATATGTGAAATAGCTGTTTTCTGTTTGAATATATTTTCAAATGTAATTTATTCCTGTGGTGGCAGACATAGCTGTATTTTCAACGGTCATTACGCCAGTCTTCAGTGTCACATGATCCTTCAGAAATCATTCTAATATGCTGATTTTTGATTAATAGGAAGTTCAAAAGAACAGCATTTGAAATAGAAATCTTTTGTACGTTATAAATATCTTGTTTGACCAATTTAATGAATCCTTGCTGAATAAAAATATTTTAATTTTCATTAATATTTATTATATTATATAATATATATATATATATATATTTACCCCAAACTTTTTGAATGATAGTGTACATATGGTTAGAAGAAATAAAAGATCATTTAAATGAGTACACCAGAAACAAATACAGTACATTTTGTAATGTTCAATTAATGGGGAAAAAATCATATATACAATGTCTGCAAGTAAAAGCTGTTCATTTGTAGACCGGATAATAGCATGGCTAGAGTGGCTCTACAAGCGCATTAGAACTAGAAATGACAAGCCTGTCAACCCAAATTGTGCCTCAGCTGGCTGCAGTGGACTTCTCCAGTGTAGACAGCATTATTGATTATAATAAGAGCAATTTAGTTTATCAAGTGGTGCTGCTCATGTCTGCTGTCGACACGGTGTTAGAGTTGAACCTCTAATTAGAGGGTCAGGATGAAGAGGTGGTGGTTTGAGCTAGCTGAACTGCCATGCACAAATGGGATATCCCAAATTGCCCTTTCTCAACCGGAAGCTTATAAGGATTGACAGTTTGCAGGCTACAGCATTAGCCAAAGCTGAAGGGATGCATTAAGATCGAGGCAGTTAGAAGGCTTGAGGAAGTGTCACAGTTTATAAAGCCATGTGAGTGATGGATTCCATGTAGAGCGCAGCCCTCTCACGAGAGTATTGAAAAGTGTGCTGGGCAGTTGTTGAGAAAATGTGTAGAGACATGAGTCAGGGCAGCTTTACAGTGTATTCAGTTCACTCTGAAAGAATGAGTTTGATCTCTTCCTGTCGGGCACCGTGAAAGATGATGCTTGGCGCATCTTTGTAAACCACTGTTCACTGTTATCAGTCTGTTTACTCTGCATTCATCTTATCAAAGTCTACCTGCATAAAAAAGCACTAATGAACTGAGAGTGAAAGTGCCTCTGCAGATCTGGTTCTCCCTCTCTCTCGCTGCTCTTTTAAATCTCTTTCCTCTGGCCAGCTCAGTTCCACTCATTTTAGTGTAGTTGTTAACAGCTTGCGGTGGAGCGGTTTGTGTGGCTTTGGTGTCGGTATGCTCACAAGCTGTTGGGTAGTGTCGGATCCGATGAATAAAGGATCGCAGACAGTCAAATCCCTCTGGTGCAAAGTAGTGAATTAGGGAACTGCTCTCCCTTTACTACTCCATTTCTCTCTCTCTCTCTCTCCTGAGCATGTGTCATTGGACGTTTACCAGCAGTGAGCACGATGAGCTTGTGATTGGTTTAAAGGATTTCAGGAAATATTAGAATGTTGCAGAAAGACTTTGGTAATGAGTGAATATGCAGCAACGCAATATACTTTTTGATTTATCAAAATACTGTGAAATACTGTGGAAATTGGAAGTCGATAATATCTTATTTTCTTAATTTCATACAGAATACACTGTATGTGTTTTCTTGTAGGTTATGGAAATACATTAACAATAGAGTTATCAATAGTTTCTATTGAATTATGCATTATGTTTTGATGCCTGATGTTACAAGGTTTTTGTGTGAATGGCCATAACATAATGATTAATAAACTATAAATAGTTATAATGTCATATGACTTCCTGTGAAGACAGATGGGAGATACATGAAATTATTAGAGATGCACCGATCGATCGGCCGGTTTTCCTCATGATCGGCCCGGTTCGGTGATCGGTCGGTCAGTCTCACTTCTTTCCGATTTCGAGCCGATCTGTTTTGTTACCAGCGGCACAGGCAATAACATCAGCCGTGCATTCTCGCTCTCTTCTCTCCGACGACCCCTTCTCTCTCACAAATGCCGAAATGAGTGGCTAACTGCGTTAAAAAGTTAAAATACACACAAAATGATGTCAAAATGCCCGTTTTGGCGAGTATCCAGTTAAACGCAGTCAGTTTTGGAACGTTAAATAGTTGAGAAAGAGAACGCATGTTGTGTAACAGTATATTGGGTCCGTGGATAAACTCTTAAAGGGACCGGGTAGGAACAAAAGACAAAGAAAATTATTTTCTGCTCTTGACTGGCTACGCTTTATAACTTTAATGGTAAGCATTAATCTGTATTTAATTTTTACAATGAAGACTACAGAAATTAAAGTAATCAAATCTAAAATAACACTGGATGTGTTATTTTACACTTGATTACTTTAATTTCTGTAGTATTTCTTACCTGAATAAAAACTTACTTAACCTGAAAAACTTAGTTTCATAGCTCTCTTTATTCTATTGCATTTATTTGTGCTGCTGTTTGCAATTTTTTTTTTGTTCTTATTTTATTACTGACTTTTTACTTGTTTTTTTTAAATGAAAATAAAACAGTTGAAGAAAAGTAGATTTTTGTTTGTATATGCTGTCAATTATAGTTCTTAGAAAGAAAATCGGTATCGGCAGATCACACTAACAAGAAATCGGAATCGGCCAAGAAAATTGCAATCGGTGCATCTCTAGAAGTTATACCATAATATTCGATATCTCAACGTGTATATATTTGCTCTGCATTTCAACCTAATATTAAAAATATTACAAGGCATGTTTTTCACGTTTAACACAAAAATGAACAATATTTAATTACTTTTTATTTATATACTGTATACCAGTATCACAAAACGGCACTAAACAGCAGTGTATTTTTACTAAAGCATTTTAAAATGAACTATTGTGTGTTCAGAATCATTGATTCAAAATTTAGAATTGATTCACTGAAATTATTCAATTATAACATTTCTGTCCTAGTTATAAGTTGTGAGGTCTTAGACTTTAACTTTAAAGTCATAAGCATCACTATATTCACAAAATTTCAAGAATATGGTTACTGTTTGTCATGTCACAACAAGTGGACAGCTCAAGTTATTGCTTGTCAACTACTGTAGACAACTGAAGTTTTATGAGTGTTTTGTCTCACTCTGTTTCTTTGGTTTCTGTTGGATCTGATCTAGAGGCAGTCTTTGTTTTCACGCTGTAGCACCTATGCTGAATACTGCTGCGCTTCTCTCTTTCCACTTTCTTTTTTGTCTCACTGTTTCTATCTCTTTCTCTCTGTGTCCGCAGGAGTCGGAAGATTCAGATCCGGAACATTCCTCCTCATCTCCAGTGGGAGGTGAGTGTGTAACCGCTCGGGCAGAGATAACAGTGTGTGTGTGTGTGTGTGTGGTCAAGACTCTGTCTATCTCCGCTGTGCTGCAGCATTTCTTTCTCTAACTGACGGTGCGTTAGGGATGCTCCGCCCATACACACAAGTACACTTCCTCTGCAGTCCATGAGAATCTGTCTGGAGAGAGTTCAGCCCTGGTGACCCAATTGTAAATCCTGATGACATCATCACAGTGAGCGCTGGCCCACTTGCACGCTCTCACACACTTGTGCATGTATTTGGACACCGTGCCTCTGTATTCTGCATTTCTCTGTTGAGTTTAGTGGTTCACTGTGTAAAAAATCCTTGCGTTCATTCAATATCATACCATATAAGCAGCTGCTACTCACAAAAGGGGCTGTTTTGGTGACATTTGCACACCAGTTGAATCTTGAGCATGAGCAGGCACTTGACACAAGCTTTGGAAGAACTGAAGAATATCATTGAATAAAAAAATTCTCAGCAATGATTTGAATTATGATGAATATACACTTTTTGAACTTTAACAGCCCCAGGTGTATGAATAGCTACACTACCGTTCAGAAGATTAGGGTCTGTAAAATTGTTTTTAAGAAAGGGGGGGTGGGAACTCAAAAATACCAAGCAGCATATTAACTGTTTTCAACATTGATAATAGTAAGAAATGTTTCTTGAGGAAAAGACTGGAGTAATGGAGAAATTTACCATCACAAATTACATTTTAAAATATTTTTAAATAGGAAACTTGCAATTGTAATAATGTTTCTCAATATCACAGCTTTTACTGCATTTTTAATCAAATAAGTACAAGACATTAGAGATATAAAATATAAGAGACATCTTTTAAAAACATTAAAAGTCTTACTGCCACCAAACTTTTGAATGGTAGTGTATGTATACTTTGTGTTAGACAGAAGAATAATAGCATACAGGGTTTGATATTTAACATAATGGTGAGTATAATGATGGCATTTTAATTTCGGGGTGAATTATTCATTTTATTTTCTAGCGCTTTCCGATCTCTATTTTCTGGTATTCAATCTAAAAACAGTTTATGAGATGTTTTGCTGTTTGGGTTTGTAACTGATTGTGCTCTTCTCATTGCAGGTTTTGGACAGCCTATTAGCACAGTATGGTACTGTAGAAAATGTGGAACAAGGTAAAGTAGTTGCCATAGTCTAAATTGACTATACTTACATATAATTATAAAGTACAGGTGCATCTCAATAAATTAGAATGTCGTGGAAAAGTTCATTTATTTCCAGTGTGGGCAGGTGCCAAGTCCTGCTGGAAAATAAAATCAGCATTTTCAAAAAGCTGGTCAGCAGAAGAAAGCATAAAATGCTCCAAAATTTCTTGGTAAACGGGTGAGTGACCGTTGGTTTCAAAAAAACACAAATGGACCAACACCAG